CTTCTCTCTCTCTCTTCTCTAGTCTCCTCTCTTCCTGTGAGTCGTCGTTCTCTCTCGTCGTCTCGGATCTTCTCTTCATCTTTCTGATTTCTTGTGAGCTTCCTGCTCGTTCCTGCCTGCTGTTCCTCTTTCATCTCTGATTCCTCCCGTTCTTTGGTTTCTTTTTCTTCTCCCTTCTTGCCCTGCCTCTTATGCCATCCTCCTGCCCCCTTCTGTCCTTCGTCCATGCCGTGCTCGCTCGCCCGTCCCTTCCTTCGGGGCGTTGGCGGTGCTGTCGTCGCTCGCCGCTCCTGCCGTTCTCTGGTCTGTCGTGTAGTTCGGTATGGTTGCTCTCTTGATTCGTCTGGGGTCATTCTTTTGCGACAGTGTTTTATCGGTTTCTGGTCTTTGGTCGCTTATCGATAACTCTTCATACGTCGCTTTCGTCGGGTCTCTAGATTGCTCTTCTCCATCTTCGTCTCTTTTTAATTCGTCGCCGCGTCTGTTCGGGTTCGGTCTCTCTCTCTTCGTCTGTTCGTTCATCTCTCTCTTCCTTGCTCTCCTCTCTCTTTCCCTCTCTATTTTCTCTTTGTGGGTTGTTCTTCCCAGCTCCCGTTTTCCGTTCCTTTCCCTACTTCCTCGTCCTGAGGTTATTGAATTTTATGGTCGTCTATTGACCTTCCACGTGAGCTCCGTGGTTTGATCTTTGGTAGTCGGTGGCATGTCTTACGCTTCCTGGTCTGTAGGTGTGTTGTGTGATGTGGTGTTACGGGTGGAATTGAGACCCATCAGCTCTGCTGTACAGGTCTGCCGGGTGTTTTCGTCCGGTTACGTCGTCCGTGCGTCGTCCGTGTTCGGGTGTCTATTCTCCTTCTCTCTCCCTCCTCCCTCTCCTCCCCTTCCTCCCTGTCCTCTGTTTCTTCCCTCTGCCTCCTTCCCTCCCCCTCTCCTTTCTCCCTCTTTTTTTCTCCCTTGCCCCCCCCGTACCTTCCTCCCTCCTTTCCTTCCTTGTTCACTTATTCTTATTCTATTTGTATACATTTTATTTTTTAGAACTTGTGAAGTATGGAAAATATACAGCCACAATTGACATCCACATCAAGAATGTGGGCAGGGATGCCTATAAACATGATATCTATGGTGACTGCATTATTGTGGAACGAAAGATTATGTCATCTGGAGGTGGAAGTTACAGGATTAAAGCTAAGAATGGTAAGTTGTTTTATTTATTTATTTATTTTTTTATTATTGGTAATTTGTTAAAAATTTGTTTTTGTTATTTTTTATAGTTTCCAATTTCATATAAGAAGTAGTAGGACATCAGTCCTGATGATGATAAGTAATTGTTCTTCGTTTTTAGTTTAAATCTAATAGGATATCATGTTATTGGTAATAGTCATTCTGTTCACAACAATGTTTACAATGTATATAAGGAGTGTGTGGATAAACAGGTACAGGAATAAGTGGTTGTGGATATTTTTTATCTGTAGATGTTTAAATGTCCTTAATTAACAGGGACAGTGGTGTCAACGAAAAAGGACGAGATTGTGCGCATGTTAGACCATTTCAACTTGCAAATAGAAAACCCAGTAACTGTATTGAATCAAGATATGTCACGTTCATTTCTCAATTCTACGGTGAGATTTTACAGTTTAAAGTATTGTACATGATTGCATTGCAATTATTGTTAAACAGATATGAAATTCTTGAAAATACTCTGGTGAGTCTTTTTGTATTTTAATATGTAAGTAATTGTTCTTTACTTTCAAGACTGCAGTAACATGTTATTATTTTCCAGGATCCTCATGATTTATACAAATTTTTCTTGGAGGCCACTCAGCTGCAACAGATGAGAGATAATTACACTTACCTACAAGAAGCCCTAAGATCATCTTTAGCAACTATAGAAGGCAGGAAAGAGGTCAGAGTTGAGATATTTATTGGTTTTATAATGTGAGAAGCAACAAGATTTTATTTTAAAACAAAGTTAAATGAGTATTTAAAACACTAAGAGGGTTAAAAAGAGAAAAGAGAGAGACAGTTATGGAGATTAATGTGACATAAACAGACATAGGAATGTGTAAGAGATGGGAATTTGGATATATGATTTGTGTGCTCAGGATGATGTGAAGGGATGAACTGGTAGCCTAGATAGTGGTGTTGCATGCTTTTGCTTTCGCTTACAGCTGCCACTGCTGACTAGCCTAAGGCAAAAAAAGGAGAAGCTCTGCATAAGCCTCCCCTGCATCAGTGAGACTTCTGCAGTGCCTCCTCATGGCCACCCATGGAAACAGGACATCATGTGGTCCCAAGCTAAACTGTGGGGGATCTCAGAGCAGCAGGAGGCCCTAGAGGTATGGAGTCATGGCGTACCGGCGTGTGGACATACCCTGACTTAGTACCAACCCCTGCCCCTCAGCAACTGCCAAGAGCAACTGCTCAAGGTTTAACCTCAGGTGGGTTAGCCAGGTAGCAGCTTTGAACATCTGTCAATTAATCACACTTGTTATCGAGGGAACAGAAGTGATGGCTGCTAAGGTGAGAAGACCTGGCAGAGACATGATCATTATGGATGGATACACCTACTTGTTCAGTTGAGACGATGGCCACCAGCTCCAGCTGACTTCACCTTCAGTAATTGAGGTGTCTGGTTGATGAGCATATTATGGCATTGGTACTGAAGCATGCTTTTGGATTTTTGTCTCTCATTGCTTTGAACACTCCTACCAATGTCTGCAAACCCGTTGAGAAACAGGTGTTCTTTGGCATTGTGCTGGGTGACTTGCTGTGTCCTGCTGTTGTCTAGCTGGGTTCAGGAAGTCTGTCGGTCCCCATGGCTCGGCAGCTGATCTCAGTAGCGAGGACAGCTAGGTCCCAGAGTTTGCTAGATTGAAGGTTTCTGGCTCCTATTATCAAAACTCAAACCTGCATTTCTGGACTTAACATAGCAACAAGGGTAGTGGCCAAGGAGATTGATTACATTCTTGTTAGCACTTGTAGTATCCTCTATAACTACATTGTTTACTGGAATGCCAAGTTCTGTAGTACAAACCATTGATTGGTTGTGGCTACCTTATGGGAACTCAGTCAGCAAGAGTATTTAGAGGTGCCAGTACCTATGCAGAAGGACCAAGTTAGGTGTCTTGAAGGCTTTGATACTGCCAGTTTTACTCTATGGAAGCTATCTAGTGCCTTGAAGTTGCATCTTTTGTAACAAGACCCTACACCAGATCATAGGGTAAAGTTAACAGGACCATGTATGCAACTGACGACTACACTGTGAGACTGGCAAAGGACCTGTTACTTGCATAATCTGTGATCTGACACTATATGGGCACGTAGCTCGTTTTCCTTCCCTGTGGATGACCCTGCCCATGAAATTGTCTCTTCATGAGACAATCCTGTGTGGAGGAGACCGGTGGTATGGCCTAGGAAGTCATGGTTTGAGAAGATCGGTGAGACCTGTCATGAGGAGCTAGAGAAGGGCTGATGACCTGCCTTTCTGGTCGCCATGAGGAATCCCTGAGGCTGGAAGTGAAGAATGGATGTGGGAGTGTACATCTCTTAGCAGTAGCTCTATGAATTGATTAATTGATTTGTGTGCATACATATTTGGAATGTTGCTTTTATGCCAGTGCAAAATGAATATAGAAAAGGAAGGATGTTATGAATTTCAAATCCCAAGATATCCAAACTCTTATTTCACTGTACTTATAACACAGCTTGATACTAGCGTTCTGCCTGTATTGTCCTTTTTTCCCCTTTATACAATTAAAGATTAACATTGTAATGGCTATTTGCCTTCCTTTTAGGATCTCCCTTATTTAAAGAAAGAAGTAGAAGAGCAGCGTTCTCGTTATGAATTTAGCAAGTCTCTTGCTGACAAGCGGAACAAACTTCGGGAATTAAGACGTGAATTGATGTGGGCTGTGGTAAGGCTGTGACCTGATTTTATTTATTTTGCAGTATATTTTGATTACTAATTGGAGAAATAGGTATATCATCATAAGAGCTGACATAAGATAACCTCCAAGTAGTCTTATAATTGTAAATCCACTTCTCATACATTTATTTCCACTTCTCATACATTTATTTGAAGGTACGTGAAGCAGAAAAAGAAGAAGAAGCTACAGTGCAAAAGCTAGAGGCCCATGAAGCATTATGTAATAAATTGCAAGAAAAGATAACATCCTATCAAACTAACTTTGAAGAGGAGCAGCAACAGCACAAGTAAGGGATCTTGTGTTGTTGGAATATGGTCGTCTGTCTCTTCTTTTCCTGTATATATATTTCTTCCTGTATTTCTTGTCTCCCTTTTCCCATTTATTAAAGTTTAGTGTTGTCATTACTGTAAGGAAATAAAAAGTCTCAAACATGTTCTCAACCCAGAGCACTTCAAGAAGAACTGGCCAACCGCACAAACCAGCTCTCCAATCAAGCCAAAGAGACAAAGGCAGCCAATGAGCAGATGGTAAAGGCTAAGGCAATGCTGAAGGACCAGCAAATGCAGGCTGCCACAGCTGAAAAGAAGGTCAAGAGCATTCAAAAGGAGATCTCTGAGTTGAAGGAAGCCATAGAGAAGGATAACAGTGCGTAAGTGTATACATCTGGAAAGAGATTATGTAATTGAAATGAGGAATGTAGGGTACAGGATAGTGAGCAAAATGTAGTGATTTTATTGTAAGATTGATTTATTTAGTATACTAATCCTGAGCATTTTTTGATATGTATATATCCATTTGTATTTTTTTCTCTGTTGATGGACAGTAAATATATGAATATACTATTGCATGTATAAGAAAAGAAAAAGATTAAGAGGGAAGAAGACAAAGTGAGGGAGGGAGGGAGAGAGGATTAGAGGGGGGGAAAGTGAGGAAGAGAGAAATATAAAATGAAAGTGATAACAGAATCACCAATGTGAAACAACAGATCCCTACTCCTGTTGCCCCTATTACCATTGTACCATGATAATGTATTCTGGTGACATGACAGAGATGCAAGAGATAGGCCTATTGAATAGA